ACTCTCGGAACATGGTGATAACGAAACACAGGAAACTATTAAAGAAATGATGAAAAATTAGTATTTAAAGAGTAGAATTAACATAATTTAAACATTTAGTTTTAAAAGTATAGTTGAATAATATAGTATATGATTGAATTTTCAAGTTTAACACATTTACATTTTGGTGCACTTGAATTAGATAAACAAATTGGAGACAATAATTATAATGGTGTTAGTTATTATATTTGTAAGTGTGGATGTAAAATAGTCTTAACTCGTACTCAAACTAAAAAATATAACCTTTTATTACTTAGTGTTGGTCTTAGCTATGAATATTTATATCTAGACAAAGCGTTAGTATGTGGACATACTCAAAAAGATTTAGATAACATTGTTAGACTTATGATAGAAGGCGAAGAATTTAAACATTTAAGTAACAAAGACCTTCGAAATTAAAATATTTAGTTTTAAAACTTTAGTTTTATAATATAGTATATATGGAAGGTATGGATAAACTAATTTTGAAAATTGATGAAATAATGGAACAAAATAAACGTATTTATTAACTATTAGAAAGTATAAAGAAACCAGCTTGCAATAATACTAATAATTACCAACCAAAAGAAGTTGATAGAGAGAGCACTAAATACAAGAATAAACGAAATGTATATATTAAAAAACTTAATAAAAAAGCTATTAAAGAACCTAAACAATCAAGTCTGGATTTCTACCAAGTCAAGTATATTGAAGATACCAAGAAATATGTTTAATCATTAACTAACAAAATTTCGTGTCTCAGAAGTGGTTTGTTTATTCCTGCTGCTCTGTAAGTTTTATTACCCATAATATCATATTCAATTTTATCAACATTGAATATTTTATTAGACCATTTAGAGTTATACTCTTTTATGTCGGTGTAATTGCCCCTTTTCTTTTAAAACACTTTTATCTTATCGTTCTCTTATATTCTGGGATACTTTCTTTTGTTCTTTTCTCGTAGTTTCAGATTGACCTTTGCATTTATTTCATTGTTGTCCTTGTGTGCTTCGGTTGGTGTCATCCTTGTTAACGAGTGTAATGTGCTGTTGTACTGTTTCAATGCTGGTGTTAAGGCATCGATCCATTTCATATTATTAAGCCTAGCTCTATCATGAATTTTGTTTTTCATTGTCCGAATAAAGCGTTCGGCTACATTTGCGTGTGTCTTCGTTATTATGTGTTTGATACCTTCGCTGTTGAAGAAATCCTGAACTTGGTTTTTGGTTACAAACGCTCCATCATCATCAGAATACACAGACATCGGGTAACCCATCTTTTTAAAACTTGCTCTAAGCGCCTTCAAAACGTGCTCTCCGTCTCTTTCCTCCATCGGAATTACATCTGCTAATTTACTGAAGATATCAACGACGACTAAAGCATACTGTGGAACATTCTTGTCTTTAGCTAAAGGTGACATATGCATGGAGCGGTATAGGAATTAGTGCCTCTATAATTTTTGATTTGTTTATTTAGTTGTTTCTTTAAGAAAGACTTTACATCGTCTAATGTTATTGTTGGATTTTCTTCCTTTGCCTTCTTGTGTGTTGCTTGTGTGCTTCCGAAACCATCGTCTAAATCATAATAGATGTTACTGATTATTTGGTCTTTTGTTAATCTCGCCATTATATTAAATTATGAGAAAATATTTTTCAATATAAACTTCACCCCTTAACATAAAATAAAACTACTTAAAGAAAAATGGATATAATATAATAAGAGAAAAAATGACACTATTTAATTATGATAATTGTCCTTGTAAAAATAAAAAATGTAAGTCTGTCGTAGCACTAGCTAATATTTTACCTGTTAATGTTTGTAATCTTATAGGTGGCTATATTAGAGTAACATGTTTTGATTGCTGGTGTTTGATGGATGAAGAAGAACATTTTATGAGAGATAAAGACATTCCTGAAGAAGGACTGGAAAAAGCAGAACTTCAATTACAAGTTATTAAGCTAATGCAAAATAATGTTATTATATTACTAGCAGAAAACCCATATAGTATAAAAATAAGACATTACAGAAAACACATTAACCGAGTGATTGATATACAAGAAGTTAAAGAACGGTTTAAAAATAGAAAAAATGTATTATCAAGCATTAAAATCATATTGTAAGAATAATGAAAATGAAATTTGTATCATTTTAAGAAAATGTCTTGACATTGAAGATTTAAAAAATTTTAAACGTTGTGGGTTTAGTTTTCCAAACCTAAACAGTTGGTGGTCATATAGAAATAACAATTATTATATGAGATATATTCTTAGTGAATTAATTGACATTTACATAGACCAATTAATAAAAGGATACGGGCATTATTGTTGCGAGTATAGTATGAGTTGTTATATTGGTTGTATCGCTGGTGAGATTGAGTACGGGTTAAATTAATTTTTGTTTATTAATATTATTCTCTTATAATATGATTAAACATTGTTTTTATAATCTAACAAGAAGGTTAAGACAATTAAATTAAACCTGAAACTCAGATTGGTCAACCAGCGACCCCTAGCCAAAACTACTTAAAGAGAAAAAGCCTTATATATTAAGAGAAAAATGAGTAAGGGTAAAATGTCAGAGAATAGTTTTATGTTTGAGAATTGTGCTAGCTTACCTGCTGATGTATTAAAAGGTATCATTTCATATAAATTAGGGGGGCCTGAATGTTTGAAAATAAAACATAATCATATTAAGATATTAAAGAGAATACAACAACGATATAAAATACGCAGAACAGAAACAAAAAGAAAGACAAAGCGCTATACTGTTGAAGATGGCGATGATATAAAGAGATACGTAATTGAGTATTACATTTCAAGAAATATACCTTTAAGCATTAAAAACATCGAAGATATAGTTTTTAATGAAAATGAAAACTTAGATTGTTTGTTAGATGACATTGAAACCGATAACGGTTATGAAGCAGTGATAATAGTTGAAGAAAATATATGTTTGTAAGGTTTTATCATTTCAATTATTATGAAGATAATCATTTTAACACTTTTAGTTTTCATTTTCATAGTGATGATGTTGTAGATAATATAACCATAGATAATATAGCCGATGTAATGAGAGCGGCGCATCAAAAAATATACAGTTGTATTGATGATGAAAGAAATAGAATGAATTTTGAAGGAATACAAATTATAAGGTTTAAACTAATTGTTGATGAACCTATATAGTTCATAATTAAACCATAATTATATCATTTATATTCTTATATATTATAATTATAGTGAATTTTTAATCTATAAATATTTCATTAAATAACAAACCACAACAACCTCCCAAAAGCCAACCCATGAAACCATAAAAAATCCTATCCTCTTTCAATCAATAAAACTAAAAATTGAAATCTGGAACGAGACAGGGGACCAAATCATCAATTCGTTACCACATCCATATCGTTATTTCATGCCCCCAAAATCAGCCTTTTAAAAACGGATAAGGTGGTACACGTGTTAAATTGAAATAAAAAACAGAACAGGCAACCATCCCTTTTACTTCTCAAAAAGAAACAATATTTTGGTCCCTTTTCGAAGTATAGTATTTTGACTACAATCCTGGGGCATATGTTCTAGGCTAGATGTCTTTCGAAATAACGGATTTGCAGGATTGTTGAAAATAAGAGAGAACATATCCGTTTTGAGCATTTTCATCTAAATAACAAATTATTAAGTGTTATTAAGCGTTATTAAACGTTATTAAACATTATTAAGCTTTATTAAACCTTAATAAACCTTAATAAGGTTTAATAAAACTTAATAAAATTTAATAAAGCTTAATATTAGATTCGATCATAATTCCTCAAATCTAAGGCAACCCCTCTTAAAGAGGCCCTTGAAGAATATATAAATTACAAAATTATCAATTTCCTATTTTTTTTAAATATTATAATTAATTCAACATAATTCTAAAAACCAATTTCTACAAATCCGTACCACAAATTTAAATTATACTATTTTTTATATTTATATAAACCATATTTTTTTTAAGAATCTATAACCCCTTATTACACATATCTATAACGGAAGTCCCTATTATACAAATATATAACAAAAAACACCTAATAAATAAAATATTAAAAAAATATAACAAAAAACAAAATATTTTATCAATCCGAATTAAAATTAAATCTATAATATATAATAATTATATAACATTACTTATAATAATATAACACAACCCATAACACATAAAACACGCATCCATAACATACAAAACATATCTCCATAATTCTATTCAACACAAACCAAATTACAACAAAAAACAAAATCGCTAACCCAAACTAAAATTAAACCTATAACACAATCTATAATAAAACAAAACAAAATTCAATATACAAAATATCTCCATAAATCAACTTAATACTATTCAACACAAACCAAACTACGACAAAAACAAAAAATCATCATCTAAAATATATAATAACAATACAAAATAAAAAATCAATAACAACATATATATATATAACAAAATACTATATAATAAACCAATTAATATTACAAAAATATATAATACAATCTATAACATATATCCATCATAATTCTATTACAAATCCCTCAAACAAAAATCACTACCATATATCTATTTATATTCACTATATATACATAACATACAATATTCAATATATATATTTGTTTAAATAACACATCCTAAATTAAAAAAAATGTAAAAAAAAACACCAAACAAATATATATATATATATGTATGTATATATTCAATTTTAAATATGTTTTCTCCTTCCCACCAAAAATACAGAAATAGCATATATAATCACAAACAATACTTATTAACCCATTTTTTCAAAAAACTAATTCAATAATAACCAAGAATTAATTCAACTTCTATTATCAATTTATTATATATATATATACATTTATATATATATATATATGTATCGATCATATTAAATCTGGATTGTTATCAATTTATATGTTTGTTCTGTGTTGCAAATATGTTGCCTTAGCAATGAATATGTCCTATGTGTAAACACGATCCTCGTTGCTGCTCCAGCTCCCAACCGCGTCCAACCGCTGCATGGCATTCCGCACATTGGGATCCCGACTCCATGGAATCCACGGCGAGCGGCACAGCATCGCCACCTCAGGACTTGTGCTGTGGCCAGTGTCAAGTGGGTCTAAGGCAAGGACAAGAACTACACCGCCCCATCATGAAGTCAGCGCGGTCTCTTGGAGAAGCACCTGCAACCGTCTCGCTGGCTGTGCCATCTGTTCACCGTCTGAATGCGCTTTGCCAAACGTGGGACGGCACACGCCGCTTTGTTGGTGGGGCTGGTCACTGCACACTCCTTCGAGTGCTGCTCGATGACGGCCATCTGGCATTTTTTGCGGCCATTTCAGGCTGCGTGGGCATTGGGAAATCAGGGCCTCCCGGCAAGAAACTGGCAGCGGAGAACCGTGGCGGAAAGGCGTCCAGGGGCAGCCGCAGGCCGCAGTAGCCGCACCTACGTTTCGGTCCATGCCTCTTTTCGTTGATATTTACCGCCACACTTCATGCGCTCCACTAGCCGATCAAAAAAGAAAAAATCAGCAGACTCGGCCTACCACAAGCATCCTAACTCCATTGGTATTGCAAACTCTGATGGGTGCAACAATCAAAGGCGGCCATGTGCGTGGCCATCTTTGACAGGCGCTGAATTAAAATTCTTGAGAATGGACATGGCTTGAGCCGAGGCCTATTCTTTCTGAAACCCTAGGCCTCGCGACGCCAAGGGTGTCCAGCATGGTCTCCCAGTCGTCGTGTTCTTGGCACGACAGGTCGGCCTGTGCCAAGCTTCTGGCACATCAACATCTTTGTTGGTTTGGTGAGCCGTGCGAGAACTGGACGGTTGTTAGATTTGCTTTGCCAACCAACTCTGGACATGGCTTCTCATCCAGGGCCAAACCGGTGCCTCGCCGTCCTCCAATTCGAACATCCTGGGGCCCTCGGAGCCTGCACGTCCTTCGCACTGTCCACTGCGCAAGCTGAGTCTCACTCAACATATCAAGGTTTGAGGCACGGTGAGATCGGCAAAACCCCGAAAACGGAGCTACGAATGCACAGAAAACAGCTGCCTTCCAGAAAGTCGTCCACAGAGGGCAAGTTGCTCTTGCGTGCTGAGCGCCTTGCCTCATCGCAGCGTCCGCACATCGAATGCATTGCCGAGCAGCAGCAAAAGTCAATTGGCGACTGACTCAACTGCAAGTCTGACAGCAAAGTCTCCTTGAAATTACTCAGCCAGAGCCCAGCCGCCCAAAAGCCGCCGACCAGCTCGCCAGACAGCCAGTTCTCCTTCTGTTGTAGCGCCTAGCCGGAAGATGCACCGTTTCAGAAAAGCAACCAATGCTCAGAATCCACCCCTGGTGTGGAGTCTCCAAATTTGCGGATGAAAAACACACAAACACACACACTCTCACACACACAGACAGAATTGTAAACAATACGATGCAACTTGTGTCCAGTATGGTTTTCTTTTTTGCCAGCAGCCACGGCGCTTCTTGGCCAAACAACAACCCAAGGAACAACAAAATACGCGCCTCCCCTTTTGGAAACCGCCTGACGTCTCAAAAACAGTCCCCAGAAAAAGAAAAAAAAAGATAGAAAAAGAACAAAAAACAAACAAACAAGGAAAAACAACAAAAAAACGGTTTTCCTTTGAAGATAGCCGCTGGTTCTCCAGTTGGCTGTCCGGCATCGCGCCTCCACGCTGGCCTCCACCAGGCGCAGCTCCGAGCGGAGCTGCCGGAGCCTCAGCTGGAAGGCCTGCGGCAGCCGAGGCGAGTCAAAGACCTCAAAGACCTCGCGGTAAGATCCTCCTTCCGGGTCACCGAAACTTGGAAAGATGAAATTAGAAAATCTGTGCGCGACTTTTGTGGGTCACAGGCCCAAGTCTTTCAATTGCAACATGCCGCACCATCCTCAATACCTGTGGATGAACAAAGCCACGCCAAACGCTAGTTGACGTGGATAACCTACTAAGTGGTGCAAAATAAACCTTGTCCATTGAATGTGGCGTTCTTTTGGCGGCCAAGGCGACAAGCACATCTGCGGAAGCTATACGGAAACGACCCATTTGTGAAGGTTCCAGGTACCAGTCTGTGTTTGTAAGAGGATATTCCAGGTGCACTTCTTGGGGTTGTAAACAAAGGAAAAGGGCGCGGATATATGTTGGATGTTTTTCCGTTTTTGTTTCTTTCCCGAAAGCATTGCGAAGGGTTCTTCCGTGCGGAGCTCTTGGTCAACTTGCGCAGAGTAGCTTGCACAGAGTCGCCAGCATGGAGATAATACCAGGAGCTCTTGGTCAACTTGCGCAGAGTAGCTTGCACAGAGTCACCAGCATGGAGATAATACCAGGAGCTCTTGGTCAACTTGCGCAGAGTAGCTTGCACAGAGTCACCAGCATGGAGATACCAGCATGGAGACACTCGCGCAGAGTTACTAGCACAGAGTAGCTTGCACAGAGTTACCAGCATGGAGATACTTGCACAGAGTCACCAGCATGGAGATACCAGCATGGAGATACTTGCACAGAGTCACCAGCATGGAGATACTTGCACACAGTCACCAGCGCGTACAGTTACTTGCGCAGAGCCAAGTGCAAAGAGCCAAGCGCATAGAGCCAAGCGCTCAGAGCGAAGTGCAAAGAGCGAGGTGCAAGGAGCCAAGTGCACAGAGCTAAGTGCACAGAGCCAAGTGCAAAGAGCGAATAGAGCTAGGTGCATAGAGCTAGGTGCATAGAGCTAAGCTAAGCTAGGTGTAGAGGCGCGGCGTTAGCAGCTGTGTAAGCTAGGTTAAGTAAGTTAGGTTAATTACTTAACGCGCGGGAAAGAAAGAGAAAGAGCTCGGTATTAAGAATCTCTTTCTGGGCGGCGGGTGGGGATGTTGCCGACGATCGGGAATGCGAATCGGCGTGGTCGAGGTGCAAAATGTTTGACTTTTCTTTCTTTAAAAAAATACGTTTTTTGATACGCCTGCGCGACCCTCTGCGCAGATCGGCGTGGTCGAGGTGCAAAAACTCGAGGTGTTTTGCGTTTTTTGCGGTGCCCGCGCGACCCTCTGCGGGGATCGGCGTGGTCGAGGTGCAAAAACTCCGGTTTTTGTGTTTTTTGCGGTGCCCGCGCGACCCTCTGCGGGGATCGGCGTGGTCGAGGTGCAAAAACTCGTGGTTTTTTGCGCTTTTTGAAGTGCCCGCGCGACCCTCTGCGGGGATCGGCGTGGTTGAGGTGCAAAATCTCGACTTTTATTTTTTTTGGTGCGGTGCCCGCGCGACCCTCTGCGGGGATCGGCGTGTCGAGGTGCAAAAACTCGTGTTTGTTTTTGCGTTTTTAGCGGCGCCCGCGCGACCCTCTGCGGGGATCGTGCGTGTCGAAGCGCTCTCGCTGTGGCGCCGTGCGATTTTGTTGCTCGCTGCTCGCGAAGTGGCCTTTGGAAGTTGTCGTGGTTTGCGCGCCTGCTTTCGCAATCCTGCGGTCGCGGGTTCGATTCCCCCCTGGTCCGCGGCAGCTCCGACTTGAAAATCGCAGCTTTTAAGTACAAACGTAGGACGGCCCCCCCCCCCCCCCCCCCCCCCCCACCCCCCGACCCCCCTCTGGCTACGGGCCTGACCTTTTCAGGGCAGGTTGAAGGTGAGAGGTGAGATTGGGAGGTGATCTACCAATACTAAGAAACAACTGTACATGTACAATCATTCTTTATTTGCATGTGGTGCAAAACTCACCTTGGAGCAAGAGCGTCCTATATAGTTCATGTCTTGAGTTTCTTCTTCTTGAGAGGGTCAAAGAAGCTTCCTGGCTCTCCGCTCCGGAGGCGTCCAATTAATGAAGTCAGCTTTAGAGGTCTTGCCCACAGCTTCTGCTCTGAGAACATCCACCTCAACATCCGTGGGGACGGGGGCACCCCCAATATATGGCTTTAGACACCAACATTTGGGAAATTGACCTGCGCTCACTCATTATATATAAAAAATTTCATGTTTTTGGGCGGCAGTTTTCAAGATGGCCACCCAAAAACATGAAACATCAATGAATACACAATTTCTGGTAACTCCATGGGACTGGCCCCCCACAAGCACTCTCTCTTATTGCTGGCTTTAGTGGGTGACGGATAATATTATATAGGCTGCTGACCATTGCCTGTTTGGTGGAGGTAGTCCGTAGTAATCAATTGGCGATCATCAATAACAATTTCTTCTTGCTGAACTAGAAAACTTCATGTGCATTTGCTCTATCAAAAGTTTGCTATTGTTCTACCCTAATGAGGTACTTGGTGGTGGCTTTACTCAGCTAGTAGGATGCCTTTCTGCAGCTCTGTAGAGCTCTTTGTATTAGTTGGCTGTGTGAGTGAGTGTTGGTTGTTGGGTGTGGTGCAGGAGTCGGGAGGTGAGGGTGAGCCGAGCCCCGCCCGCCTCCAGTCACAGCCTCCGGCTGGAAAATCGCAACTTTTAAGTACAGACGTAGTATGCGGAGCGTGCAGCTCCGGCTGGAAAATCGCAACTTTTAAGTACAGACGTAGTATGCGGAGCGTGCTCCCGCAGCTCCGGCTGGAAAATCGCAACTTTTAAGCACAAACGTAGTACGCGGAGCACACTCCCGCAGCTCCGGCTGGAAAATCGCAACTTTTAAGTACAACAATAGTACGCGAAGTACATTCCCACAGCTCCGGCAGCACTTGTGCAGAGCAACTTGCGCAGAGTCACTTGCGCAGAGCAACTTGCGCAGAGCAACTTGCACAGAGCACTTGCGCAAAGCACTTGCGCAGAGCAACTTGCACAGACCAACTTACACAGAGCACATGCGCAAAGCGCTTGCACGGAGCAACTGGCGCAGAGCACTTGCGCAGAGCAACTTGCTCAGAGCACTTGCGCAGAGCAACTTGCACAGAGCACTTGTGTGCAGCAGCTCGCAGAGAGCAACTTGCGCGCAGCAGCTTGGAACAATGCAGCTTGCGCAGACCACTTTCGTGAGAAATCGCGCGGCGCAGTTCGCGCAAAGCGCATTGCGCCGAGCAGACTCGTGCAGAGCCAACTTGCACAGAGCCAGTTGCGCCGAGCCACTCGCGAAAAGTAGCTTGCGTAGACCCAGCTTTCACAGCCAAGCTGCGCAGAGCCGAGCTAAGTTGCGCGAGCGTGCTTTGCAGAAACTGTGGCCGTCGTGCAAGCTTTGCTATTGATTGCTTTTCCTTTTGCTTGTCATTCGTTTCGAGCTTTACGAGCTTTACTCTTCTTGTTTTAACGGATGTAAATATGTGGGATCGAGCACTGCCATGTTTCCTCTCGTAGGACGATGAGATGGAGCTCTCATGTGACCATACACATTGAGCATCGCCGCGTGCAGACACGCTCGCCGCAGCGATGTAAAAAGGTGTCTCCGCGGCTGGATGAGCACCTGGGGAAAAATGCTTTCGGGCCAATCGTCCCTCTAGTTTGTCCTTTTCCGTCCGGGCCAGTAACATGTCGTGTTTTACCGCATTTTATCGCAAAATTGACGTATTGCACACTAGCTCGTCAACGCATCGTTTTCAACATCCCCCACATGTCCGACCAAGATCCCTAGCATCACCAACAAATCGTGGGCAACAAAATCTAAAAAGTAGCTTGCGGGTTGACGGGGTCGAAAAAATGATGATTCAAATAGGAAGGCATTTCACTCGCTGCAAAGCAAACCTGCCCCATGATGTTCGCAGAAGTTGATTTTAATAGGGGTGCATGTTTTTCGCTGCAAAAAGTCTAAAAAGCAGCCGCGGGGTTGGGGGGCGGCGGCAGCCCCCCCTATGATGTTCGAAGAAATGATGATTCAAGTAGGGGTGCAATGATTCAAGAAAGGGTGCGATAGAATATAAAAAGCAGCGGGAGGGTTGGCAGGGGTGGCTTCCCGTATGATTCCGAAGAAGTGCATACATACAAACATACATAGATTACATAGATTACTTAGATTACTTAGATTACATAGATTACACAGATTACATAGATGACATAAAATGTCGTATTTTTACAGCATTTTCTCGCGAAATTTGATGCTCCAAAAAGTGATAACCAAATAGGGGTGCAACTAAATCTCTGCAAGAAATCTAAAAAGTACCGGGAGTGGCGGGGGTGGGGGGGGAGGCGGCAGCCCCCACCCATGATGTTTGAAGAAAGGGGTGCAATCAAACCTTTGCAAGCAATCCAACAAGTTGCGAAGAAGTGATGATTCAAATCGGGAGGGACTGGAGATGCTGAGGATGCGGGAAGCCAAAGCCAAAAACCAATGAACCGGAAATGCCGCATAAACCAGCGAAAAGCTGCAAACGCCAACTGGGAATGCAGAGGATGCGAAAAAGCCAAAGCCAAAAAGCCACCAAAAGCCGCGTAAACCAACAAGAAGCCAAAAAACCAAGAAGCCAAGAAGCCGAAAGCCAAGAAGCCGAAAAGCCAGGAAGCCAAAAGCGAAAAAAGCAAATACCCCTCCAAAGGAAACCCACCATCGGGTTGAACATTTGGGAAAACCCGATACGTCCAGAGACACAGGCATGTCCCTTTTGAACAGTGCTTGTTCCGTAGAGCCAGCAGGTCTTGTTACATGGGGAATACGATCATGTCTGTAACGAATGTCCGCCGCGGCTTCGTTACATACCCCTCAAAAGCATCACTGCCACATCAGTTTAGCCGGCCTGCTTGTCTGCAAGAATCTCGCACAGCTCGTCTTCCAAAGCTTCGACAGACATAGGTATGGGTCAAAATTAAATCACCAGGGGACCACAGGTTTTAGTCCTTGGTTCCATCTGCTAGGGTTCCATTTTGGGTGCCCGTTTTTGACCCACAGCCACATGAAGCAATCGCATCCGATGCGGGGACAACTCGTGTCGTAAGGCTTTGGGACCTGCTTGCAGCTTGACGCCTTCAAAGACGTGCTGTTGTGCTCGAGATCCCTTGCTCATAAGCTTGCAAATGAGAAAAGCAGCATTCTGAAACGTCAAACGCTGCGGGTCACGGGAAGGACATTTATGCCGATGCTCCAAGAAAGCCAAGAACAGCCCCTTGACCTCAAGACGCCCACTGCTTCCAGCCCGATTTCGTGGCTCTAGGTTTCGCGGCCTGGCGTTCCCTCGGCCCTTGGGGGCTGTTTGGGGCCTTTGGCGACCCGGTTGCCCCAAACCCGGCTCGGCCGGGCTGGCTATTGGCCAACTTTGGACCAAGCCAAAAGTGCGAACCGGAGGAAAACAACTGGTTTGAGCTGAAGAGCTCTCAAGTGATACATTCATCCCGCGCTGTCCTGGCGGGAGATGCGGAGGCTGGCAGCTCAGCGTTGAAATTCGAACCGTGCGAACAGGCCGTCACGGGCAGTCGGTCAGCACGGTCAGGGTTGGTATGGCTGGCTGTCGGTCAGCACGGCTAGCCGTCGGTCAGCGAGGTTAGGTCAGCACAGCTAGCCGTCAGTCAGCGCGGCAGAAGCACGGCAGCACGGCTTAGGGTGCGCACGTCTGGCCGTCCAACCGCCGACCAGCACGGTCAACCGTGATCATGGTCACTGTGTGGAACAGGTTTTTCGGCCCCTTCTCAAATCTTCTCTCAGCTGTTGCTCGCAGTTGGAATCCGAGGACTTACACGTGACAAGAAGTATTTCCGATTTGGCTTCTCTTGAAACGGAAGCACATCCATCCTTTGCTGAATGTTGCTGAACCCCTGCCTGGCAGCTCGACAATACCAGCTGCAAATCACTCGCAGACAGCGGCCCGAGGCTCGCCTCCTACGTCATCGGGGACCCCAAAGCGAGCAACTGGACGATTCACGGGTGTCCCTAGACCCTCTTCTTTTGCACCCTTCAAGCAGCCAATTGTGATTTGGAGTCGGTGTTGCAACCGCTGGAAGTGCGCTCGGCAGCTCTCGGGCCTTGTCCTTTTCGAGCCTCAACTGCCGAGCAAGCTTCCAGATGGCGACCACGACCTGCAGTTCAGCCGGGTCTCAAGGCCACGGAAATTTCCGGGATGGGATGGCTTTTGGAGACACTCTCACTTGTTCGCTCAAAATCGCGGGCAACTCGCCTCATTTTGGCCAGTGTCAGACCACAGCCTGGAATACAGGCGGACACGGCCGCAACAAATATCTGTCCCTGGTGGAGCCCCACATGCACATGACTGTTCTCTGGTGCAAGCTGGAACCCGTTTCCTAGCCTCTGGAGATGCCGGTGGGCAAAAGTCGCAATCGCGGCCTGGCACAGAACGGCGAGAAATTGGCGAGTCACCGAATCCGCTAGGGCTTTGCGCTTCAGATTTGCTAGCGGAGCGGATGCAGAAAATGGAACCCGTCCTCTGAAAGCTTCGGAAGAGAGAGAAGCGCAACCGAGAGCCACTCGGCCTCACCGTGGCACTGTGGCACTGCGGCACTGCGGCACTGAATAGACCGGGCAGCGGGCCCAATCTACAAACCCACTCTGGTCGATGTCGGCTGCCTGGCAAGTGCTAGCACGACACATCCGTCCTGGGAATCCACAGCCGTCCACATTGCATCTTCTTAAGCTACGACTAGCACCTGGCTTTTTACCTGAGCCGGTTGATGCCTTCACCGCCTCTGTCAAGTCTTCATCAGGCACCTGTGGATGCTCGCTCGCAATTCACTGCCCAAGCAATCTAAAGCCGGCCTCGGAGCGTGAGATGTTTGAGAGCCTCCTCAAGCCTTATCAGAAAGCCCACGTTTCACACGTGGCTGTGGGTCAGAACCAATGGCACCATTTAGGTACCGGGTAGGTGCACCGCCCATTTTAGTCTATTTTAGTGGGGATTGGGATGTTCACTGGGGGTACGGGCTTCTGACCCATGGCCACGTCAGTGACAAACTGCAGGGCAGGGTTGGGCCAACCCCTTGAAACATATTCAAACCACAATTGATTTGTTCAAACTGGCAAAGCGCGGCACCGGCGGCGCACTCCTCGATGCCTGGCTGGCCGGGGGTGCAGCTTGGATCGGCCTCCAACAAAAACGCGGCGGCCCTGCTCAGAAGCCCATCGTTGTCCTGTGCCCAGTGGTCTGTGCGTGTGTGTGTGTGGGCGGTTCTTTAGAAGGATAACAAAGGCAGGACCACCATTTTGAGGAGGGCCCATCCCAATTTTAGCACGCAACCAGTCTGCAATACAACATGTCAGACTGTGTCCCACCGCTCGAAACAAGAATTCGAAAGAATTGTCACAAGGTCTGATTGCACTCGAGGCTTTCCGATAGACAACCCTCCAGGCCGCCAGGCCCGCCGAAAAGCACAAGCTCCCCTTGATCTCTTGCAAGTGCGGCTAATGCGGAGCCCGTCCTCATCGAGCATCAGAAAAAGCGTCCTCCAAGCTGCTGGTTGAGGAAGGTCTGCCTTGGTCTGTCAACATTTGGACATGAACATGGCACAACCCTCAGGTCTGTCCTCCGTCGCGCTTAAAGCGCACATGAGGAGGGCATACCTGCGAAGCAAACGCCAACACAAAACCACTTCCCAAAGTAACTTTCGCAAACCATTGCAAACAGCAAGATGCAAATCGTCCAAAACCCGTCATCTCACTACCGCTTGGCCAGCATCAGCATCTGCACCTCTGACTCTACGCGCTTCGCCCTGCCTCTGCGGCTTTTGCAGCTGGAGCATCCGCCGCAGCAGCGGCACGGCAGCGACAGCCTCGCCGCTACCAGTTGTCAAGCGCTCGCGGGGCTTGCAGGGCTGAGGGCTCACCAGTGACGCTGGCTCGCTTTCTCGTAGTGAGCTCCTGTCCCAAAGCCGCTCAGTTTCTCCCAGCGGCTCACGCAAATGGATCGCGCGCCTTTGCGCCGACAAGACCCAGCCATGTCTCAGAGCCTGCCAAGTCACCAACGGCTCCAGACTTTCAAACTGGTTCTGTCTCATCGCAAGAAAAAGAACACAAAGGCATGTCGCGTTGGGCAATTGAAAAACGGGTCGCGAGAAAGTGAGATTTGACCCAAAGCCCGGCCTGCGCACAGGTCAGGCGCGTCTGCTCCGATAAGACAAGAAGCTTCGTCACCAGGTCACGGCCTGTGGCCACCAGAACTATTGGGCTCGAGATGTTCCAGGTGGCCATGCGTGCACTTGTTTCAGAGAAAAACTGACAACCTAGGCGCAAGTACCGCAAGTCACTGACCTCCGCGCCTGCTTCTGATACCTTGAGCCAGCCAGGACGCTGCGTGGCAAACCTCGAAGCTCTGAATCACTGAAGCGTGCCAGCCAGGTAAGCCGTGCCATTCCGAGGCTGGGACGCTCCGGCTTTAATCTTTTTCACGGTCTCCTCAGACAGAAAAGCACACCGTGCAGCAAACCTTCTTTGGGATCTCAACCTGTTTCCCTCATACGGGTGTGCGTCCGTGTGTGTGTGTGCGTGTGTGTGCGGAGTGGCAGAAGACCCTGTCACCACAATTAGTAGCAGGGGGCCAGCGGCCATCAAGCAAACGCTGGCCTACAAAGCTATGCTTGATGGTGGATGCACGGATTGATCACCCGTGTGTACCTGCTTTTGTGAAGTGATGTTGATGAAAGTCCAGTTGGCCGCTTCTTTTGCCGCTGTGTGTGCTTCATGTTGAAGAACCTTATCCGACTTGAGACTTGTCAGTTGTACTCGAGACTCATCAGTTGTACTCGAGACTCATCAGCTGTACTCGAAAGATTAGCACCCTCCATCTGGAGTTTAAGTGTGTACACCCCATTCGTGGGGAATCCTCGGGTGTACCCATTGTGTGACCCCGGACCGACTCTGTCGGAAAATTTGACCTCAACGTGCTTATCATAGAACAGCGGAATTTCTGATTTAACCAGGAACGAGGTTTCACTAAACGGAAGACAGCCGTCAGATCATAGCTAAGTCTCACAATTGCTGCTGGTGGCTGCATGACCGCGTGTTGATCTGTGCTTGGCTTGAACTTGCGTTGACTTGCATCTTGTCGGATTCGATTCTCTCAAGATTGAGGTGTCGCAGTTTTGAGTTACCTTGGGGGACAGGATCTACAACTACCGCGCATGGCAACGCAGGTGGACTCCTGACATATCTTTTCCGTGTCGCTGTTCAGACATTGATGACCACCTCCTACATCGTGCACATGAACATGTAGTAATGGTGGATGGTTCTCACGTATCAATGCAGACATCGACATTGACATCATGTCCGCGTCCATGAAGGATCAATATTTTGGCGATGTTGACATGCTGCATCAGCGTTTTACCACACAGCTTCGCAAACTAGCTAGCTGGATCGGAACCCGCGGTACGCCCTGTCTTTCACTTCGGCATGGACATCGAGGATGCAACTCAGACGTCGGGCCGAACCGCTGAGCAGCACCCACGGCTCGAATATTCAGTCTGGCAGGATCAGGAGTGGGTGCGGATCTATACTCCAGGACAACCTCAGCTGTGGCAACCAGAAGAAGCCGTACCTGACCTACCAGACAACTCGTTTCGGGAGTGGAAGCGGGTAACTGATCCCATTGGTGGGACTGGTGAACACAGTCAGGCGTGGACAATTCGCGACTGGCAACATCAAGGTTACCAACGCATTCTTTCTCGCTTTGAGTCCTTCTCCACTCGTCAAGCCCAGGATCAATCACTTGTTGACGTGCAGAACTCGGACATCATCCGAGTCGAGGAGATGTTCACCTATGCCCCCCCTATTTCTGACGGTGATCGCTTGACTGCTTTGCAACTTCCTCCGGTTGCTACCGCGTTTATCTCTTCGACTTGCGGGCTTGAGTGTTCAAATCATGTTGGAGCAAGATGTGCAGACATTCATAACTTGGACCCATGGAGCGCAGCCGACGTGGTTACAGTTTCACGGGCCTGGTACATTGCTTGACAGACCAGTTTTCTTGTGTAGTTGCTGATTGCGCATGGTTGTGCATGGTGACTTTTTCTTTGCTAGCTGGATCGGAACCCGCGGTACGCCCTGTCTTTCACTTCGGCATGGACATCGAGGATGTAACTCAGACGTCGGGTTGAACCGTTGAGTAGCACCCATGGCTCGAATATTCAGTCTGCCAGGATCAGGAGTGGGTGCGGATCTATACTCCAGGACAACCTCAGCTGTGGCAACCAGAAGAAGCCGTACCTGACCTACCAGACAACTCGTTTCGGGAGTGGAAGCGGGTAACTGATCCCATTGGTGGGACTGGTGAACACAGTCAGGCGTGGACAATTCGCGACTGGCAACATCAAGGTTACCAACGCATTCTTTCTCGCTTTGAGTCCTTCTCCACTCATCAAGCCCAGGATCAATCACTTGTTGACGTGCAGAATTCGGACATCATCCGAGTCGAGGAGATGTTCACCTATGCCCCCCCTATTTCTGACGGTGATCGCACGACTGCTTTGCAACTTCCTCCGGTTGCTACCGCGTTTATCTCTTCGACTTGCAGGTTTGAGTGTTCAAATCATGTTGGAGCATGATGTGCAGACATTCATAACTTGGACCCATGGAGCGCAGCCGACGTGGTTACAGTTTCACGGGCCTGGTACATTGCTTGACAGACCAGTTTTCTTGTGTAGTTGCTGGTTGTGCATGGTGACTGTTTCTTTGCTAACTGGATCGGAACGGTACGCCCTGTCTTTCACTTCGGCATGGACATCGAGGATGCAACTCAGACGTCGGGCCGAACCGCTGAGCAGCACCCGTGGCTCGAATATTCAGTCTGCCAGGATCAGGAGTGGGTGCGGATCTATACTCCAGGACAACCTCAGCTGTGGCAACCAGAAGAAGCCGTACCTGACCTACCAGACAACTCGTTTCGGGAGTGGAAGCGGGTAACTGATCCCATTGGTGGGACTGGTGAACACAGTCAGGCGTGGACAATTCGCGACTGGCAACATCAAGGTTACCAACGCATTCTTTCTCGCTTTGAGTCCTTCTCCACTCATCAAGCCCAGGATCAATCACTTGTTGACGTGCAGAATTCGGACATCATCCGAGTCGAGGAGATGTTCACCTATGCCCCCCCTATTTCTGACGGTGATCGCACGACTGCTTTGCAACTTCCTCCGGTTGCTACCGCGTTTATCTTCGTCTTGCGGGTTTGAGTGTTCAAATCATGTTGGAGCAAGATGCGCAGACATTCATGACTTGGACCCATGGAGCGCAGCCGACGTGGTTACAGTTTCACGGGCCTGGTACATTGCTTGACAGACCAGTTTTCTTGTGTAGTTGCTGGTTGTGCATGGTTGTGCATGGTGACTGTTTCTTTGCTAGCTGGATCGGAACCCGCGGTACGCCCTGTCTTTCACTTCGGCATGGACATCGAGGATGCAACTCAGACGTCGGGCCGAACCGCTGAGCAGCACCCATGGCTCGAATATTCAGTCTGCCAGGATCAGGAGTGGGTGCGGATCTATACTCCAGGACAACCTCAGCTGTGGCAACCAGAAGAAGCCGTACCAGCGGGTAACTGATCCCATTGGTGGGACTGGTGAACACAGTCAGGCGTGGACAACTCGCGACTGGCAGCATCAAGGTTATCAACACATTCTTTCTCGCTTTGAGTCCTTCTCCACTCATCAAGCCCAGGATCAATCACTTGTTGACGTGCAGAATTCTTCGGACATCATCCGAGTCGAGGAGATGTTCACCTATGCCCCCCTAATTCTGACGGTGATCGCTCGACTGCTTTGCAACTTCCTCCGGTCTTCTATGGCGACACCCGTCATGCTCATCGTGGTGATCTTTCGTTCCCGTCTTCTGAGCGGCTTCGGGCAGTTTCGCGTTCTCCTCGCCGCTGTGGATATTTTGGTAAACGATGGAGATACGAAGTTGAGTATGTGATCTTCCTGCTTCTCGCCCCTCACTGAGGGGCGTGTGTGTGCGGAGTGGCAGAATACCCTGTCACCACAATTAGTAGCAGGGGGCCAGCGGCCATCAAGCAAACGCTGGCCAACGAAGCTATGCTTGATGGTGGATGCACGGATTGATCACCCGTGTGTACCTGCTTTTGCGAAGTGATGTTGATGAAAGTCCAGTTGGCCGCTTCTTTTGCCGCTGTGTGTGCTTCATGTTGAACCTTGTAACGTTTTCGACACTAGAGTGAAGCCAAGTGACCTGCCAGCCGAACCTTATCCGACTTGAGACTTGTCAGTTGTACTCGAGACTCATCAGTTGTACTCGAGACTCATCAGTTGTACTCGAAAGATTAGCACCCTCCATCTGGAGTTTAAGTGTGTAATGTTCTTTAAGGGTCCGTTTTCAGGTTGGAAGAAGGTTGGACGGGAATCCAAAAGGGAAACCAACCGTTTGCGGGGGGGGGGGGGGGGGGATTCCCCTATTTTGGGCACATGCTCGCATGATCATTCACTTGCGCCGCCTGCTTCGTGGAGTCCTTGCCAACGCGGAATGGGTTGGTCCCCGTCCTTGCAAGCAAATCCCTTGATGTTCAAACCCCTGTTGCTCAAACAACCTCCTTTTGGGCTCCAAGAAACGTGAGAAACGAGCTCGGATGTTTCAACAAATCTTGCTTGGGTCGACCGGGTGTGGCGCAGCATCACGTAGAGGACCACCCCCAACGACCTTGCTGCCGCCAAAAAGTCGGCGAGCGGAGCGTTCAGATTTCACGCCAAGTGTCAACGCTGAAGCGTCACAGCTTCCAAAACAAAACATCCCTCGCAGATTATAGGCAAAACCAAACCCAAGAAAAGCAAACCTTCTGTCGGCTCGCAGCTCAGATTTTCAGCAAAAAGCTCATCAGACCGTGGCACCGGCCACGTGTCTGCTGGGAGATCAGCTCCTTTGCGCATGTACACCTGGCAGGTGAGACTCTCATCAGTTCTCGCAACCGGACCTTCACTAAGCAGTTGCAAGGTCGAGCCGGGGGACCCGAGCCGGGGGTCAGCCGGAAGCAATGTGCACAACAAACATAGATCTCATCTTCAGGTTCCCAAAAGAAGCGGAGGGAACACAAAGAGCTTCCATCCCTATCTGAAGAGCAGTTGAAACTCAACTCAAAAGCAGCACCCTGTCAACTGAAGCAACATCCGCCTCCGGCGCCGTGTAAGACAGCGTGCCGATGTTCACCAACGACCTCGCCGGACGGTGTCAAACGACCCCCGGTGGGTTCCATGTTGGTGGAGCACCGGAGAGGGTACAGCGCTGCTCCTGTTTCACTGACGACCTTGCCTCGGCTTCTGCTCGGTCAGCACCATGGCAGTCCCAAAGTCGCAAAGCTTCAGCACGGCCTCTTGCCGATCCACATTTGGGTGTCGGGGAACCCTAGAGATGGATGGGTTCGTTTGGGCTTCCCTCTAAAACCAACCTGAGGGTGGCAAAGAACACAAACACGTTTGCTTTCGCAGATGCCACATGCCCTTCTCAAACCATGCAGTGAATGCCCTGCCTCCTCAGATCCCTCGAGGCAAACCAGAAAGTTCTCAGGCCTCAGGGCCAGGAAGCACGGGAGTCCCAGCCAGGTTGCTGGCACGTCAGCGGCCAGACGCTGCACTTGTGGGAACGCTGAGCCGCCATCTTGATGTCGCGGTGAACTATTCGGCGGCCGTGGAGGTAGCCAACTGCCCATAGCATCTGCCTATACAGGATTCTGCCTACATCGTCCACACAAAAACTATGCCGAGCCTAAAGAAGATTTGCACGTTTCCTTCAGGAAGCCCGCTGCCCCCTTCCTGCAAAGCATCGGACGAATCATGTCGCACCACACTTGGAAACACCGTGCTCCCTCCAGTCAGCTCTCCCTCATTCGGTGGCTTGGCTTGAAATGGAAGCGTCCCCTTAAAAGGAAGCGAGTCTTCCAGGACACGTCAGTCAGGTTCCAAGGTAACGTGGACGGGAGGGTATTTGGCTTGGCTCTTGGGTTCCTCCTTGATCTTCTTGACAAGCAGTGCATAGAGCTCGCCCCCGGCACACATCTCCAAGAGCAAGTGCAGCTCGCTGGCCGACTGGAAGCACTCAAACATCCTGATCGAAAGGGGGATGCCGCGGGCAGAATGGCTGACGCCCAAGAATGTGTGCGTGTGCGTGTGCGTGTGCGTGTGCGTGTGCGTGTGCGTGTGCGTGTGCGTGTGCGTGTGCGTGTGCGTGTGCGTGTGCGTGTGCGTGTGCGTGTGCGTGTGCGTGCGCGTGGGCGTGGGCGTGGGCGTGGGCGTGCGCGTGCGCGTGCGCGTGCGCGTGCGCGTGGGCGTGGGCGTGGGCGTGGGCGTGGGCGTGGGCCTGTGCGTGTGCGTGTGCGTGTGCGTGCGCCTGCGCACGTCGGCGCGGGCGCGGGCGCGGGCGCGGGCGCGAGTGCGGGCGCGGGTGCGTGCGCGTGCGCGTGCGCGTGGGCGTGGGTGTGGGCGTGGGCGTGGGCGTGGATGTGTGTGGGTGTGGGTGTGGGTGTGTGTGTGTGGGTGTGGGTGTGGGTGTGGGTGTGGGTGTGTGTGTGTGTGTGGGTGGCTGTGGGTGTGTGTGTGTGTGTGTGGGTGTGTGTGTGTGTGTGGGTGTGTGTGTGTGTGGGTGTGTGTGTGTGTGTGTGTGGGTGTGTCTGGGTGTGTGTGTGTGTGTGTGTGGGTGTTTGTGGGTGTGTGGGTGTGGGTGTGTGTCTGTGTGTGGGTGTGTGTGGGTGTGTGTGTGTCTATATCGCGTGCCCTTGTGTGCTTGCTGTGCCTGTGCGCTGCGTCTGGCGCGCGCGCGCGTGTGTTGTGTGTGTGTGTGTGGTGTGTGTGTGTGTGTGTGTTGTGTGCTGTGTTTGTGTGTGTTGTGTCTGAGTGCTGCGTCTGGCGTGTGTGTGTGTTGTGTGTGTGTGTGTGTGTGGTGTGTGTGTGTGTGTGGTGTGTGTGTGTGGTGTGTGTGTGTGTGTGTTGTGTTTGTGTCTCTGTGTGCGAGTGTGTTTTTGGTGTGTTGTGTGTGTGTGTGTTGGGTGTGTGTGTGTTGTGTGTGATGTGTGTGTGTGTGTGCGATGTGTGTGTGTGCGCGTGTTGTGTCTGCGTGTGTTGTGTGTGGCGTGCGTGTGTGTTGTGTGTGTGTGGGGATTATGCGAGAACCAGTTTTGAGGTCCATTGCCGCATACCAAATGCCCTGTCACTCCCCAGCCTGATGATGTGAGGGTGGTCCAAGCGTGCCAGCATGGCCTGTACTTGAAAAAGGATTTTTTGGGCAGCAAGAACGAGAAGCACTAGGCTGCGCACATACTCGCCCAGGAAGCTCGCAAGTTTGCGCTTAGCTTCCTCGGACTCTACTTTCGCCTTGGCACTTGCACGTGTCCGCACACTCCCAACGGCACTATCCCGCCTGTGGTGAAGCGATGGGCGAGGCAAGTGAAAAGACCTGAAACGGCGCCAGGCATCGCGAAAAAGTTGCAAGCTTAAAACAACCCTGGCCTTCACTGCGTATGCGCGGTCAGCCTCGGGTGTTGCTGGCAAGTTCTAGTCGCATTAGTATCCTCTTGGTGCCAAACTCCATTCACACCTCTGGCGTGCGCCTGAGGTAGGATTCAGCTCAACCAAGCCAGGTGCACCAGCTCTCGGCCTTGTACACGTTGCCAAAAGAGCCCTCTCCGACTTGATCACCCAAACTATAATGCTGGATGAACCTGCCAAAGAACCACCGCGAACGCGCGCGTTCGAACACACTGGCCCTGACCTCTGGTCTGTTTGTGGACGCGATAGCAATTTCTGCCGGAGGCCTGCGGGCTCATTGTCAACAGCAAAGCCCACACGAACATGTGTCAAATTCGTGGGACTGTGGTGTTCCTTTTCTTTGCCCGTCAATCCAAACCCCAAAACAGGCATACAGAAACCAGAGAGCCACACCACTGCGCCTCCTGCGATGTCCAACACCCGTGGGGAGGTCCAAGCTACCCACGCCTCAGAATCAACGATCGTCGCTGTGAAGACATCTCTCCAAACGTCTTGATTTCTCGCGTCTTGCGACCTATTCAACAGCATGGCCAAGTGGAAGCTGAGGTCGCAACCTCCTCCTCCACCACAGATACAGCATCCCTGAGTATGCAGGGAAAAACTCCGAGCTGTGAACAAAAAACCCGCAGAGTTTTGCGGGATGGTGCTTATCAGCCAGTGCCTTCAACCACAAAGAAACAAAAACGCCTTCCCAAGATGAGCCACTGTCAAAAGTACATGTTTTTTCCCCAAAAGGATCCGGGAAATGAGGTCTCCTCCCTGGTTTTCTATGCATTTAGATCCAGCCCCAGGTCGGGGTGATGTCCAAACTGTCGTGAGCGCGGCACCCAATGACTCGATGCTGCTCCACCAGCTCCAACACCCCCTTCGCGCAACGCAACTGATGGAACGAAACAAACTCTCCGTTGTACCCTGCCCCCCACTAACTGTGGATGATGGAAATTTGGATCAACCACCACTAAAATGGTCTTCCAAATTGTGGTGACTGTTAGTGTTTGGGGGCAGGGTCCAAACGCTCCAACTGCAGGATGTGTCCACGGTATGTTCCGAACTCTCTCAAACTTTCGGCCTCCCGCTCAGACGCGATGCAGCACTGCTGGACCACTTTGGCCAACCTCAAGAAAGGAAACTGCATCCACAAAACCAAATGGGCAGGTGGAGAGATCCAAAAACACGTGTCTAAACTAACATCCGCCTCCAAGCTTTGAGTCTGCTGCGAGCCGGTGCTCTCGCTGGTGTCGGAGCATACCGCTACACAGCCGGAAAGGATGCTGGGGAAACTCGATGCCGGATTGCCTGCACGCAGGCGGAGCGAAGGCGAAACCCAGAGAGCTGTCGACGATACCACACGTCTTTGTCTGAAAATACAGAACCCTCAATGTTTGTGGTGTTCCTTAGTTTCCTGTTCCAGCAAAGGGACGGTACACATACCCACACGTCCACAAGCGCGCGCCTGCAGCTTCACTGGGATCGCCCGCCGCTTGGCTTGGCCTCGGACCAGCCGCTCTCCACGGAACACGCACGCAGCTGCCTTAGGAGCATTGCGATTGCCCCATGCCAGCCGAATGCACGCCCCGGACCGCGTCATAACTTGATCCAAGACTGGAAACAGCTGCAGAGCCCGGCAAGCGTGCGCATGCTGTGGCAAACAGTGACAGAAACATCACCCAAACAATCAAAGGTCAGACACGTGCGCAGATTGTTTTACATGCTTTGCATTGCAATTTGGCAAGGTCCAGAGCGGCCGCGATGTACGGACCCACGTCCCAGCGTGCCTGTCCCAAGCAACCTGCAGTAACCTTCGAGAAGTAAATGTTGCATCGCTCAGCGCTCTCAGAGCGAACAGTTGGCACGGCAACCGAACACGTAAGCTGCATAAAATGGCTGGTAGGTGTACGTATCTGGTGCTCTACGGTGTAGAGTTCTTGAACTGCGCAAAAATGCTGCTCCGAGCATCACTCTCTGGCACAAACGAGCAGTCAAGGGTGTTTGCCAGTGAGCGAACCAGGCGCTGCAGCCCCATCAGTGTGCAGTCGCAATGCCCAAACGAAGCCACATGGCCCGTGCTCAAGGCTGCATCTGATGCATTGGTCCAAACCCGGCGAGCAATCGGATGAACGCCTGGGGCAGGCCCTGGAAGGCAGCCTTGCCACTTTCCCGAGCCAGCGCGCCTCTTTGACACCATCACGCGGTTTGCACAGCTCACAGTCCACAATTCACCCCGCGCATGTTTCTTCTGTTAAAGGTAGGCAAGTAAAGTAGTGTCGAGAGCGCATCTCTAGCTGTCATCATGCACGGCGACCATGCCTTGCTGCACGAGCAGTCTAGGTCAAGCTGGAGTTGCGCTCGAGAGCCCTGTGCTTCATCGGACAGCTTCATCCCAAACCGCCCTCATTCCACGCTGGCGAGGGAAACCGCGGTCATTTGATCAAAAGGTCCAAAGAATTTCGAGCTGAAGGAAAAGAGCAACCCAGTAAGTGCCTTCTTGCCGCCTCATTGACAGCTCTGACAATCCTTGGCAAATCTCCACAGCTGGGCCCCACAACCGCGCCTCGCGCTAATGAACCAAAACCAGCCTCTCCGGGGGACGCGGCCTAAATCCCCTTGGGTCAGGACACAGGACACTGGCCCAAACTTATGGAAGCGCGGCGCCGAATCTGCAGAGACGCCTGATCTGCTCACCGGCAGCGGCAATTTCGCCTCCTCAAAGCAGCCCCAAATAGCTCACCTCAAAGCCTGGGACCTTGGCGCAAAATTCACATGCCGCTTGCGTCAGGGGCCCACCCCTCAATCTCTCAAAGGCAAGGCTCCAAGCGTTGCAAACGCTTCCCAAAGCAACACGAACTGCTGCGCGGAAGCGTGCTGCTTAAGCCTACTGGTCTTACATAAGCGGCGCGGGGAAACAAGCGGCACACAAAGGCTTGTTTGTAAGTATGCCCCGTCTTGCACGGTACCGTTGTCATTTGCCACGCGTCGAGAGTTGCAAGTAGTGGAATGGCCGTTGTCCCGCAAATTAGCAAAAACCTGCTTCTTGCGCATTCAAGTGGCTCGCCCCGACAAAAGTCTTGGCATTCTCAAGCTTCACATGTAGCCAGCCCTCATGGAGAGCAGCTTGGTTCGTGTGCCAAAACACGTTAATGTTTGCAAAATAAGTCTAAACCAAAGGCGCCACATCGCGCCACTTCACAGCGCAATTCCCTGCCTGCAGGTGCAATTACTGTAAGCAAATAAGGGCAAATCAAGCACTGCACAACTGAATCAAGTTGGTGTGAAAGTCCGGGAACATGCATCAGGGAGCTGATCTGAACTGTTTGCTTCTCTCATCATCCATGTCCGTCCACAGTCCTCGTCACAGGTCCCTCTCCGTCTTGTCAAGTCTTTGCTGTTGCTGCCATGAGCAGCGCCACTCGCGCGGGCTTTCTCAGCCCCAAGTGACTTTGGCTTACAGTTGCCTTGGGCTGGCTCCGAATTTCTGCAGTTGGAACTTGCGCGTCTCGCGTCAAGAATCAAGAATTGCTGCCTTGCAATGGGCGTGGAAAGCTCGGAGCCACTGATTTATCGGCCGCCCAATCGCCGTTGCGCAAAATCTACGGCGCCGAGCGGCAGCCTTTGTGGGCAATTGCACCACTTCCCAGTGCACCTTTCTGCACGTCAATGGTCAATTCCTGTCAAGCTCTTGCAGCAGGGAAGACATACTCTCAGGATCATGCTTCGTTTTCAACAGTGGCGAGTGGTCCCATTTGGGACGGCAGACCTGATGCTCACGCTACTCCTTGCGCTTGGCCCGAACTGTCTGACACAAATCAACAAGCAGCACTCGGACAGCCAAAAATAGTAGCACTTAACCCAAGGCTTGGTTCAGTTACGCAAGACTTAGTCTTGACCCACGCTGCACCCCCCTGAGGAAATGTGTTCCTCTGGGACACGCCAATCCAACGCCAACCTGAACGCATTCTCAACCTTCACATGCAGCCAGCCCTCATGGAGAGCAGCCTGGTTCTTGCGCTTAAGCATGATAATGTGTCTAAACCAAAAGCGCCACATCCACAGTCCTCGTCTTGTCAAGTCTCTGCTGTTGCTGGCATACTGCGCCAAGTACTGACTGTGGCTTACAGTTGCCTTGGGCTGGCTCCGAATTTCTGCAGTTGGAACTTGCGCGTCTCGCGTCAAGAATCAAGAATTGCTGCCTTGCAATGGGCGTGGAAAGCTCGGAGCCACTGATTTATCGGCCGCACGATCGCCGTTGCGCAAGATCCGCGGTGCTGAGTGGCAGCCCCTGCGGGCCATTGCGCCACTTCCCAGTTGCACCTTTCTGCACGTCAATTCCCTTCACAGCACAACCCCCTGCCTGCAGGTGCAACTACTGCAAGCAAATAAGGGCAGATCAAACACTGCACAGCTGAATCAAGTTGGTCTGAACCTCTTGAAACCTGATCGGAAATAGTTGCTTCTTTAGTCATCCATGTCCGTCTATGTCCTGATGTTCTTTCATCTGCCGGAAAAGTCGCAACGCCATGTTCCGTTTTTGAACAGAGGCGAGTGCGAAGAAGAAAACAAACGTGAAACCACTGCAGTTCTGAAATATGGCCCTATTTGGGACGGCAAACCTGATGCTCACGCTGCTCCTTGCACTTGGCCCGAGCTGTCTGACACAACTGGTACATCAACTTCTACATGGTTCAAAAACGTTCATACGAAGCGGCAGCGAGCTCAACAAGTCTCTGTACGTCAACAGACAGCACTCGGGCAGCGAGAAATAGTAGCACTTACCCCCCCTATAACTGGTGCAAACAGTTGCTGCAACCCACTGCGCCTTCTCGCAAGTGGGACGGAGTCCAGTGAGAGAGAGAAAGGGGGCGAGACACGGGGAAGGTACGCCAACGCGTCAGGCGCACGCGGGAACTTCCATAAAGATGTCGACGGGGGCTGCCCGTCTTGCCGGAGTCTGGAGGGGTCGCTGGAGTGCCGAGTCCACGGAGCCGTTGGAGTTCAGCGGGCGCGCGACACTGGTCCCACACAAACGCGAGCGCCTCCATTCCATTCCGCCCACTCTACAGGCAAAGGCTGAAAGCCAGGGAGGGGCCCAGGGCCCAGGATGAATGTCCAAAAAACTGCGAGGACAAGCCTGCGCAACAAGGCTTTGCCAGCCGTCCGAGGCCGGCTGCATTAATGATCATAACTCACCATTAACGAACCCTCAAGCGCGCCTCCCAGCGCTACACATCCTGGCCCTTGCAACTCTGGAGCCAAAAGGATTCGTTCAATGTGGCACAGGGCTGCCGGCTCACCGAGAAGCTAGTACGTGCGATTTGGATATATGTTTGGACACAACCTTTGGGCAGGGAGGGCTGGTTCATTGAACAGCTCACCCGGTCGAGATTTGCGAGATGCTATTTAGACCTCATTGAATCGAGGTTCGCATCATGATTTGCATGCGCCAGAGCGGCACCTTCTCCAGCTGGCAGCCGTGCCGCTCGCTGATCACTTTCGTGGCCAGACATGAGGGTGGTAAGCGTTTTTGGGAAAGAATGCGGTCCGTTTGTCCCAATTCCTCGATGTACAATGGTCCCATTCTACTTCCTGACGGTCAACCCTGCCGTACGGACCTGGATGTTGATCAGGGTTGAGCCACGACCGAAACTGCTTACGCACAGGTCGATAATATGACACGACTGTTACTAAACATGTACACTGAGGTTTTGGACACTGCTCAGTTGGGCCACTGCCTAAGTCAGAGCCAAGAAGCCAAGATTGGGACACCAAAGCCTCACATGCTGTTGTTCGAGGATCTCCCTGCGCCACGAAGTGCTGCGCGCGGCTTCTGAGCCACTTTCAAGAGTGCTGGATAATAACACGTGCGACGTGGGAAGCGCCACTCTCGACGAGAACATGGTCGACGTGAAGCCCTGGAGGTCAAGCAGAAGGCGCTCACAACCGCGCATAAGCTTGCTGGGCTGAAAGCTATGTCCACGCAGTCACTGAACTCTGGTCATCGAACATTTCCTGGAGGCAAACTTGCAGCGCTGGCCAACACGACCGACCGCTGTCAGAGTCTGCGATGTCTGCGCATGCGCTGGCGGTTGGGAAAAAAACAGGATAGGAGTCAGGTTACCGCATCAAGCACACGCTGCAAGTCATTGCGCTTCTAGCAGCGGTTTTGCGAAGTTGTTCTGCAAGGCACTTTTGCGGGGCTCTGCGCCGCAGATCCTGCACATAATTGTCGTTCGTGGAAGTTCTGCATGGGAATCTGCAGGTGCGGGGTACTTCTGTGAGGCGCTCGCATTCTGCAAATGGGGAACTATCTAAGTGGCGGAGTCTTGCAGTCAAGCTTTCAGCTCTTCGCCGATCTTGAGGACTTCCGTATTAAATTCAACTGGAGAGACGGTGAGGGTATTGGTTTAGGAGACGCAGGCCTCCACAACGCCCCCTGCTGGAATTTTGAGGAACGGGCTTTCTGTGCGAAAATTTATGCAAGTATTGACTAGTTTGGTGCTTCAGCCTGTCTAAGCATTTTGGAGCACTGGCCACTTCCAACGCGGCCTGCCCTTATTGCGAGCGACCTGCCTGTTCGGGGATGCTGGCTTGCGCGGCAGTCTGTTCCTGAAGTTATTCTTTCTTTTCACGCGCCCGACTGATGTTGGCCCCCACATACACCTGCGGGTATTACGCGGTGCTCACGTAGTTGCCCCTGTTGAGACCGCCAAGCGCAGAAGGTGTCTGTTGTTCTTTTGATGGTGGTAGTGAGCCAAGACACATGTCCGCCGACTGGGAGAACATTTCGCTTGGCAAAGCAGAACAGGCCCGCTTGACAGCCCTGCGCAGTTTCGGGGGTTGCCACCTCCCAGACTGGAGGCTGCCGGCCCTAGGCTTTCTCACGAGAGCGTCAAGTTGTGTCTCAGGCCTCAGGGGCTGCGAGCCCTTGAATGTCACGTGTCAACGGGCAGGAATAATCTGTGTAGCAAGGTCTGCGCCACCACGGCGACGGACACCATCTTGTCGCGGAAGTCATCCGCTGGCCGTGTGATCGTGGACCGACTCTTTGCTGCAAGCCCTTGGCGCGCCATTGCGCGGAGATTCGCGGCTGCGAGCAATGCTTTGAATGTGGGAAAGCAACATGCACAACAAGTCTGATGTGCGAAATCGGGTGTTCTGGATGCTGCTTGTGGGATCGTGAGGTCATGTCAAGTTACAAGATCTTGTTCTGTTGATAACACGGTTGCGCCGGCCATGGGCGGTGCCACGTGCGAAACCCGTAGAACAAGGAACAACACGACCCAACTGGTTCTATTGTCATCGAAGTGCCACGGACTATGCCTCCTGCCTCAACACGGAAGCTCAAAAAAACATGCCCCCTGGAACGCAACCTAATTCGCAAAGCATTGGGACGATCCAAATGCCGCACTGGGCAACACAGATTCAAAACAAGTTAATCTTGGGTTAAGCGGCTCATAAGTTCGTTTTGTCTCTGAACGACGGATTCTCCCTACATGGTTAGCTTACCTTTATCCCATGGCCGGCCCTTGGATGAATCTTCCTTGAAGAAATAGTCAACATGATGCATTGGAAAGCCGCATAATAGTCCTTGATGTAGAATACTCCTAAGCAGCAGTGCAAATCCATGTTTAGTAGCCGGCCCTCCACACATCACCGTGAGCCGAGCTTCACGGCAGGCTGAGAGGCTCAACTTTTTCTGCCACCCCCGCTTCTTTCAACCCATGTCCTGCGGCCTAAATCCATCACAGCCGACTTTGCAACGCGCAAGGCGAGCAGTTATCTTTAAGCAGGCCACGGTTCAGGAATCAAGATGCTCGAGCTCGGCGCGGGCGAAAAGGTTTCGTGTAAGCTTCCTGCGTTCAAAAATCAAATGCGAATTGGCTTGGCTCGCTGTGACAAGGATCCACGCAAAGTTGAGGAGGGTTGAAAGCTACTGGCAAGTCATACGCCGGCTTTAGCTACTCCCTGAGTGGACCCAAATGCGCACACCTCGACGCAGTCTGACTCCAAAGACTCAGGCCCGACCGGCTCAAATAGGACCCATTACCCCCCCCCCCCCCGCGTGCGAGATTGGAAATGCAGCCGAAACTACGCCTCAAACCGTTTCGTTTCGGGGAGTGTTTGCCTCGTTTTGGTTTTTGCTCTGCTTCTTTTCTGCTGGGGCCTCGCTCCTGCGGGAGCGTGACCGCGCTGAGTTCCAGATCTACTTTGGAGCCACTTTCTTACAGCAGGGGCGTGGCAGCCATCTTCCACGTTGACTCGAGATTGCTTGGCTCCCTTGGAAGACTTTTTGTGCGCTGCTCCACAACCTCAAGAAAGCGCAGCGCGCTTCAAAACCGGCACTCCTCAACAACTAGCTGTTTTCGGCACCGTCGGCTAGCGCACATATGAAACCTTTCTTTTTTTTCCGCGAGGGCGGCTAGAGCTAGAGCTGCTTTGATTTCGACGTTTCTTGCGCCTGAGCACACAGCATCATCTTGATGAGTGCTGCTGTCACTGCTGGGACTGGCGCTTCTTGTTGCGACGCTCAGATCTACTTCGACTACCTGTGATGGACAAGTGGAAGCAAGTGGGGCAGCCCCACACCACCTGCCTGCACTGCGTCGTTTCTCTTTGCGACGCTTGTGCTTTTCTTTGCGGACCTGGGCTGAGGCAGTGCAACTTTGCAATGTTGGGTAGCAGTTGTCTAAAAACGAGCGCGCCAAGCAAAGCGGCCTGCGCTTTTGATTTCCCTTGGCGCTCCCCCCCAACATTCTCAGTCTCCTTGACGCTCCCTTGTTTCTTGTTGGAAACCTGTCAAAACGGGCGCCCCAAACTGGTTGGCCTCCATTTGGCTTCTCTTTACAACCGCTCCAAAATCCAAAAAAAAGGTGTCCCCTCAACAAAAACACACCCAAACGGCTTCTTCCCGCCCAAACGGCGGACGCGCGTCTCCACATTTCAGTGGGACGGGCCACGGGCCCCGCGCCGGGCTGCTGGACCGACTGGCCGGCGCTGAGGAGCTGCCTGCTTGCAACCATCTGGGTGGCCCGTCTACCGAGAGGCGCCCATGCTTCGTGTCTCTCAAGCAAACCAAAATCAAGGAAGCCAAAAGCAAAATCTTTCGGGCCTGAAAAATCAAGTTTAGCGCATCCGCTTAAACTTTCCTGAGCATTGCGGTTTAGAGGGCAAACGACCCCAAAGGCAAGTTGGAGCAACCCTTCAAACGCTAAGTTTAAGCAACCCAGGAAGCCGTCACGCAAGCTCAAAGCAGCTGTTCTTGTTCACTCTGTATCTGAAATCGCGCGCCTCTTTCGCGCTGCTCTTCCTGCTTCTTGGCCTCCTCCCTACACGCGACTCTCATGTCTCACTCAAGAGCAGCCCTGCGCATCTTAAGTTGCAAACACTGGCAATCAGTAATCAGTCCGCAGTCTGCAGCCAGTCAAAGTGCCCAAGAACGCTTGTCCCCCCAGGCCTTTTCCGATGCTCGACTACCTGGCACAGCATCACCCCGCCTCTTCTTCGCGAGCTCTGCCTGCATCCGTTTGATCTCCTGGCCCGCCCCGGAGCTTGCGCTGCAGAAAGCCAACTGCCGGGTCCTGCTCTTTTTCCTGCAGAAGCCTCGGGGTTGCAACAACTTCGGCCGACGGACCGTAAGGAAGAGAAATTCCTGATATCAATGGGGCGCTGCAACTCGGGCACTTCCAGCTGCCTCTTGGGCTAGTCCAGGAACACGGCCAACAGAGCCAGCGCTTGCGGTCTGCTTTGAAGAAAACATGGCAGCTGCATGATCATGCTGGATCCGTTGCAGATTCCTCGAGCGGATGGGGTCGATTCCTCCAATCAGTGTGGTACCAGTCCTCCCATTGGTTCGCAAGGTCACCCTTGTTTTCACGCGCATCCGATCTGAGGAACCGGGCCTGACGGTCTCCTGGGGCCGCATGGCCTGGGTTGAATACCACCCCGCAGAGTCCCCCTCACTTGAGCATGTCGGCCTCCCGCTTGCGTTCCGCCCGCTCCTGAATCATGACACATCCAGGCACCCTGGTTTGAACCGTTCTAAACTCAACGCACAACCAAATCCAAGCCCCTTGTGCATTGCTTCAACTTGCTATTGAGCAGGAAAACAAAAACAAAGGAAAGACAAAAAAAAAAAAAGAAGAAACAAAACACGCCCCTCTCAACGTGTTGGCTTCCATCAAGGTCTTGGCAAATCAAACATGGGTGTCTCAACATGGTTCGGAAGGCCTCCATTTTCGAGCTTTCCTTTTGGTTGCCCCGCAACGACATGTCTCCCGCAACCGATGTCCGGCGGCTCCTGTTTGCGCCGCTCGGCTTCCTCATGCTTCCGCGCCTCCGCCTCCTTGCGGCGCTCCTGCGGCCGGGGACCCGGGCTTCCCTTTCGAGGCCCCAAGGAAATCGTTGCGTTGCACATATGCGACATATGCATGACATATGCGATATGATGCATATGAGAAATGAGTGGTTTCTGTTCATTTCTCTAACTGACCCAAAGGGTCGCCTCAAAGTGAGCCGCAAGCAAGACCTGGCAAAGGGGCTACCCAAATGTCGAGAAAAGGACAGCTGCACCCATTGGTGGCTGGGAGTGTGGGACTCGCTAGGATATGGCTACTCTCGAGCGAGAAACAAGACGTCCGAAAAGAAACATGGAGGTCTGTACAGGTCTTTTGTTTATGGGTACGGTCTCCACAATTGGGCCGCTTTTTGTGGTGGCTGATCACAATGTTCATGCGAATTGGCGGGGCATGGTTGCAAGCAGGTTAGGCCTCAAAACAAAGCCATTCAGGCTGTGAAGTAGAAACACTGAGGGAGCATATGGGGGGCAGTCAGGTGGGCTTTGGATTTGGTTGAGGTGTACAGTATGTATCCACTTGATGCTTGGTTTGACTTGTATCCCATCCTCCACTTCAAACTTCATTCGCAGCTTATCTTCCCATGCCATACCTAAGCACCGACTGGCCGTGCATCTCCGCTGCGTCAGATCATCTGCACTTAGGCTTCTGCGCGACTGTTCAACCTCTCTTTTCTTGCCTTAGCTACAAGGGTCCATTTCCCAAGGTCGAAGGCTTCAAATAAAAAATGAGGCCCCAGCGCTCCTCCTCATCTCTGACTGCTTGCTCCTGAGCCTCAGGTTGCGGGGACGAACCAAAGCATCTCCCTTCGGCATTCCAAGCCTCAGCTTCCTTGCGCAAATCATCCTCCTCCTAGCGGAACTGCCGTGCAGTCTCAAGCAAACAGCGTGTACTGTAGCTTTTTGCTCCTGCTGGCGCCGCCGCAGTAGGAAGTTGTTGCGGCGCTGCAACTCCTTCGCTCAGAACAGAGATCTGGGACCAAGTCAGACCGAGTGAATTCAAATCGCATCTCCGAGTCCCCTGAGGGCCCCTGTCAGCTCCCCAGCTCCTGCTCGAAGCGCTGCAGCTCAGCAGCGGCTTCCTGAAAGACGCGACACAGGGAATGACCCTTCTGAACCCTCCCAGGTGGTTTCCCTTTTGAGAATCCCTAGGTCCAAAACTCGGAAACCAAAAAAACAGTTGATTCCATAAGAACCAGCAAGTATCAAGACCAGCGAGGTGCAGTGAAGTCGCAAAAGGAACCCGGAGAGCACCCCCATCCCGGGTTCCAACGCGGCCCTGCGTCTTTTTGCGAATCTCGGCTTCCCTCGATTCGCAATCTCCCAAATTTGGGGTCGTCCAAGTCCCAACCTTTGGGTGGGCAGTTGGTTCAGAGAGAAAAACGCGTTCCGCGAGCCTCGCTTTGCGAAGGCCCGAGTTTACGTCAAAACATCGAGAAGGGCCATGCTGGGGCAACAAGCTGCCGGGTCCACCAAGACGGGGAAGGTCCTTGCAGGGCCTTTGGCATATCAAAAGAGGAATCAACTACTAGTTTCGACCAAAGACTGATTGTTGGCTTCCGTTTTTGAACTCCTGGCATAAGCCCCTAGTTTATGGGTTGATCAACCGCTAGTGGCAAAAATAGGGGAAACCACCCCCCAAAGGGTCCAAAATGGCCATGGCTTCACTAAAAAAAACAGCCTTTGATACTAGTACCACCTGGCCAAGAATTTCTTCGGCAAAGAAGGCCTATTGTCAATGGGGACAGGGCTTCGATTAAACGATCAAAAGCATGTGGGATCCCTTCAAGGGATCCGCAACTTGTTCCGTAAGACACCCAACGTTTACCTACAAAGCCAGCATGTCCCCAGGAATCAAAGCTATTATTTATCTGTTTCCCAGAAAACTCAAAGGTAGATTTTGGAAAGCCTCCTTGGCACCCATGTCCTACATTCCGCCGAAAAGGCTGCCGGGGTATCACCAAAAATACAAGCCATGGCCCTCCAAATTCCTCAAGCTGGCCAACAACCGATGACGTCCACACAACATTCATGTGTCCAACCCGTGCTATTCTTTCCCAATGTCCTTGTCAAGGAGAGTCATAGCAACATGTCTTGGAGTTTCTCGAATCTCTTTGCTTCAAAGTCACGGATGTGCCTGTTTTCAACCATACCCTCCGCAAAACGGGGCCAATCTAAAGGGTAAAACAACGGGAAACCTTTTTGGGAGTTCAAAAGAAAGGCCCACCCCGCAATAGATTGCAAGCCAACCCTTTCAAATGTATCGCTGCGTATCCTCACTTTAAACCCGCACCAACCAATCCTGAAAAGGTTACAAAAAACATCCCAACCAGCGTAGACCCCAGATAGAACACCACGGCTACGAACCATGACGCAGCAGCATCATGATGATGTAGACAGAACCATGATGATACCGCAGCCACGGAGCATGTTGCGCCAAACAAACGCGCAGACAACGTCCTAATGAGTTCAGCAGCATAATGATGATGTTGAGAACATCATGCTGATACACCAGCCACGAGTGAGTCCGCGCTACATATCTGGCAGGAAAAGGCAAACACGACGTTCTGATGAGTTTGAATGATGACGCGGACAGCATCATGATGATGCGGACAACATCATGATGATGCGAACAGCATCATTCTGATGGCAAAGGCAGCATCATGATGGCACCACAGCCACGAATCATCTTGCGACACGTAATGAAATTCAGCATCATCCTGATGTTGACAACATCACGGCGCCTCTACACCCACAAACCATAACGCAGCACCGCGGTGACCCCAGCAGCATCATGACGTGTCATCATAACAATACACCAGCCACGAACCATTACGCGCGAACAGCACCCACCAGCACGGCAAGCTGCATGCCCCTCCACCGGCACCCCAAACTGCACGCCCCCCAACACCCGGCCAGCTTGCAAAACAGCATCCACCAGCACCCCAAACTGCATGCCCCCTAGCACCCGGCAGCTTGCAAAACAGCATCCACCAGCACCCCAAACTGCATGCCCCCCAGCGCCCAGCCGTCAAGCAGCACCCCAAATTGCATGCCCCCCAGCACCCGTCAAGCTCGCAAAACAGCATCCACCAGCACCCCAAACTGCATGCCCCCCAGCACCCGGCCGTCAAGCTCGCAAAACAGCATCCACCAGCACCCCAAACTGCATGCCCCCGAGCACCCGGTCGTCAAGCTCGCAAAGCAGCATCCACCAGCACCCCAAACTGCATGCCCCCTAGCACCCGGCCGTCAAGCTCGCAAAACAGCATCCACCAGTCCACCAACACCCCAAACTGCATGCCCCCCAGCACGGCCGTCAAGCTCGCAAAACAGCATGCACCCCAAACTGCTTGCCCCCTAGCACCCGGCCCTCAATCTCGCAAATCACTTTCCCCTCGTTATTAGAAGTTAGAACCCCTATAGCTTTCAGCTAACTGGGGGGGGGGGAAGAAAAAAAACCGGCACACAGCTGCTGAAATTCCTCATCTTTAGAGTTACTATGAGAAACACCCCAGCATAATGCCTGCCAAGTGGGTCAATCATGCGCAGCTCAAAATGCCCTTTTCAGCACCAGGCATCATTGTTCCACTTGTTGGGATAATGAATATGTTGTCAACAAAGACTCTTTCTCCCAAAAAACAAGAGAAAGAAACAAACAACGCAATGCCCTGGAGACCCGAATCGGTCAGGTCCAGAGGTCCGGAGGTCCGGAGGTCCGGTCCTTAGGTTGAAGGAGTCATCGATCGTTCCCACCAGGAAGCCCTGCTCCAGGCCATCACAGCTCCAGCCGCCCCCGCCCCCCACCAGCCAGTCGTGGGGGCCCGTGCGGTAGGTGCTGCCTTCGACCAATGGAAAAGGGAATCTCTCATTGAAATTTGAAGGAGTTGAAACAGCTGTCTCAATGGAAAAATAAAAAGCTTCGTGACCAAGCTGCCCTGGTCCGTGTTGTGCCGGTGCCCCCCGAAATACGCCAAATTGCGCCGGCCGTCCGGCCGCAAAGAGTCCAAGAAGCGAGGCAAGGATTGGAAGTAATCTGTGGGGTAGTGTGAAAACACCAGCATAGTCTGCCTGCAATCTTGCCATACCAGTCCAAAGAGCTCCAATTGCGTGGTTGACAAGACACAAACTTGTTCTCCCTCGCCCCTCTGCCCCCTTAGGCCTTCCTCTTTTCCCCTTATCTCAATTCTTACTTGTACACCGTCCTGGGTTCATATCTTTGGGGCTCCAAAGAATAGATTAGTTTCAACAACCCAGTCCCTTCCTTCCAATATATTCGGGAAAGTTGATGTTCAAAATTATTCAAACAAGAATCTGGCTCCACCCCTCCCTCCTCCACCTCTTCCCCCTCTTCCCGTTGTTCCCCTCTTCCTGCCGTCCTGGTGGACTCATTCAACCGCCTCCCCAGTAGCTCGATGGCACTTTGCGCCCGTAACTCCGCGTGCTCCAGGCACGTCTCTGGGCACGAGGAGTATTGGCAGTCAGAGAGCTCCAATTCATCCGAGGATTTGCTCGTGTTCCACCCGTCCATGTACCTGCCGTACCCTAAGAAACCAGATCAAACCAAAATCTAGCTAGGTTGCAACCAAACCCCTAGGCTTGTGGGTTGGCAAACTTGCTGAATAATTTTCTGGAGGCTTCTTGGACTTGCGCGAGCTCTCTCTCTCTCTCTCTCTCTCTCTCTCTTTAGTGGGATATGCGGAAGAAGAAGAAAAAAAAGAATAAAAAAAAAGAAACAAAAAAAGCACATCCCAAGGAATAGAAACTTGGAGTGGGACCCCACAACTGGACAACTGTTTGTTGGTTCGGGTGGTTCATAGTTAAGAGGACACAACTTCAACTAAACAGTTTTTGGTTTACTTGCTGGTGCGATTTGTACGGAAATCGAAAAGGAATGAAACCAGGCTTTGGTCCCCTCCAGGAACCACCAGCAAGGGATGGTCTTCTTGGGCATTCCATACTCATTCCTTGCATCTCCTGCACCGATCGGAAGTGCCAAGGTGCTTGTTCAGATCCAGGGCCACCACCTCCAGGTCCATGTCCTCGCAACCCATTTTTGTCTCCAGGGAAACGGACAAGCTTGTCTTTCGTCCGGAAAAAACGAAAGGCAGAAGAAGGAGTCCCGGTTCCCATTCTAGTAATCGGTTCCCTGAAAACCGACCAAGCAAGAGTAACGGCTGGCAAAACTTGGGACTCTCGGCAGGCGATCTCAAAATCCGGTAGACGTTCTGTAAACACACATGTGAGATCATAAACCCAAGCAAACCCGAGTGCAGATTCCACAAAAGGCAACTCAATAACTGCATGATGCAAAAGTGCCCTTTGGAAGGCGTACTTTTGGCTCAGGTTTGTACACTGCAGTATTTTAGAGGCTTTCCACTTCCACTGCTTCGTTCAGATACGACAAACTTGTCCTCATGCTCGATGCGCCAGTTGTAGCTGGGCATGTAGAAGCGATTCCGGTCATGGAGATCCGAGTTGATTTGGGCACCATCTTCAGGGCTGCACATCCCGGGGTCATGGTGCGTGTCATGGTTCCCGTAGACGCTGTACCATGGCACATCCCTCACTTTGTCGGGAAAACGGTTGTACCACTGCAAGCCCCAGCGAGGGTCACTCTTGCCAGTCAAACCATCCGGGTAGAAAGAGTCTCCCACATTGATGATGAACTTCACATCACTCAGCCGCTCCATAGTCTCTGCCATCACCTGGCCGATCATCTTTTGGCAATCCGCCTTCATCACGTTGCCATGGACCAAATGGTCCCAGCCCCAATCGCCGACAACCAGGAACGAGCCTCTCCGATTTTGAGGAATCGCATTCTTGTCCATTTGGCAAGCTCCTTCTGCAAAGTCCTGCTTGGCAGAATTACATTGGGACCACCTCGACTTTGCTGCCGTGTTACATCTGCTCGTGCCGTGTGAGTGTTGTCCAGTACCCTTGGCTCAAAACCGAATGGGTCTCATTGTGTGCGCTGTGGATTTGGTTATTCACAGGGATATACATATCTGTATATATATATATATATCTGTAAGCAGAGAGCTTCCAAGGATGTTTCCCCACCCTTGATCAAACAAGGGGA